TTATTTATTTAAATTGATATAAATAAAGTATACATGTTGCTGGATCTTGATTAGTACCAGAGATACTTCTCAAAATCGGATTTTGATTAGTACTGGGGATACTTTTCAAAATCGAATTTTGATTAGTATTGGAGTATTTTTCAAAAACACCTGAATTTAAAGTTGAATAATACCCAATACTACTTAAGGAGAATACTATTACTGGAGGATACTGTATGCAGCGCTATACGGTACAGATGGAATACAAGCATGAAAACAAAACACATTAGAACATTTGATAGAAAATGCAAAATTGCATATATAGGCTATAAATTCACGCAAACTAGTATATAATGGTGCTGCAAAGTTAACATTACGCAACAAGAGGGCATATTAGCAAAAAGCGGCTTTAGGTTCTAAGAAAATTACTGAAATATTTCAAACAAATAAAGCTGCTGAGCCTAACAATACAGATACCGCATTTGATAATCCCATATTTGATGATCCAGCATTTGATGATCCATGTGACAATAGTGATGATGATAATAACGAATTCATATTAGAGTCTCTGAATTTATTATTAAAAAAGAAGAATGACGATTTGCGACTTTAAATGATAAGTCAATTTCTCCATTTAGTTCAAGACCAAAAATATAGCAAGATGGATGCAAGTAATCTCCTTGCCTAGAGCTTGAACAAAGGTCCATAGCAAGCACAGTTTATTCGCTTCTAGACGAATCAATGGCTTAATAATAGCATAATTATTACATCTAAATGTGGACGTCATGCAAAAATCAGATCTCTTCTTTTGCATGAAGATGTTAATTGCAAGTTACTGAATATTTACGTACGTATAAATTTAAGTTGAATGTTGCTGATTTCGTAAAATTTATTGAGGATGAGGTTATCCCTGCTCTTGGAATAGAAAAAAAGATAAGTATCTCACATTTAACTGCACGCGAATGGCTACATATACTTAGTTGGCAATATAAAGACCATTCAAAGAATATTTACTTTGATGGTCATGAACGTGAAGATGTAGTTGCAGATAGAAATCGATTTTTGCAATAATGGGTGGAATTACAAAAATGAATTGCTATTTATGAAGACAATAATTTGAACTAAATAATCGCACCTGCGCTTTCACATGGTGTTCTTGAGATTATTCCAGTTACTTATGATGAATCAATCTTTTATGCTAACGATGATATTGTCAAAGCTTGGGGTCTAGCAGATGAGAATAGACTTCGTCGCAAGTCACAAGGTTTTAGTATACACGTACATCAGTAAATTTAATAATGCGAAGTATTACGTAAACCCTACGCTTCGTAATCTTACGTAAGGTTACGAGCCCG